AAGGGAAAGTGCGGGCGGGGACGGGAGTGGAGGGGCGGTGTGAGCTCTTTGGTCCCAGAAAGTGCTTCCCAAAGTCCGCTGTTGACTTATTTATTTGTACTGTACTCGCCTCATCTGGAAGCGTCGAAAGCAGCTTCCTAAAAGTCTTATTAGGATTCCCCCTCGAGCCCAGCACCCCTCCCCCCACAAGCCCCTGCACCAGCCACGACGCCCAAATTTAGACCCAAGGTCCTGGACACCTTGAGCACACGGCTGTGACCAGGACCGACAGACCACATCCCTGTGGGCAAACAGCCCGTTTGGGAGGCGAGGGCGCCAGCGGGCCTCCGGCGCAACAAGCACGCGAGGCAGGCCTAGGTTAGTCGTGTTAGTGACCCCCCTGGGCTCAGCAGAGACTCGTAGGCAGGAAGGGACCAGGTGTCGGGGCCCAGCGCCTCCCCCTCCCAGCCTCCAGCCGGGGCGCTCCAGCCCCGGACGCTTGCACTGCCCCTCTCAGACCCTCAGCACTTGCCCCAGCCCCCTGAGAGCACCGTCACTGACCCCTCCTGCTCATGGCCAGCACCCCCTGCCCCCTGCCCTCCTCTCCTGTGCCCCCTCCCCTCAGTCACTCTCGGCCCCAGGCTCCGATGTGCCCCTTCTGGGCTCCTCCCCGGCATGGGTGGGGGAGGGGGGCCTGGCCTCTGCCTTTCCCCAGGGCAGGCTCACTGCTGTTTGGCCTTCATTCCCCCCTCCGGCGGGCCACCCTGCAGCAGGGGGCACGTGCTGGGGGCCCGAAATAGGGAGGTCGTGAAGGCGGCAATGATGAGCAGGTTCCCAGCCACCGCCAGGCTCAGCGTGGCCAGCGTGCCCACCAGGCCCAAGGGGGGCTCCTGCGCGGCCAGCCAGGCGCGGCGAGACCCCATGTCAGCCAGCACCGCCTCCAGCTGGAAGTGGGTGCCCAGCACCGCGCAGATGTGGAACAGCTGGTGGCTGTGGCCTGCGGGGAGGGTGGGGCAGGTCAGGGCACACGGCCCATTCCCAGGGCGGCCCGGACTCACCCTGGGACCCGTCACCTCGTCCTCCGGGCCTGCTGCTCCCCCAAAGTGGGAATATGAAAACCTTCACGAAGCAGTGAACGAGCTGGTCTGCACGAGGCCCCTCGTGTCCTTGCTACCGGGGTCACCTGAGGGGGAGGGGAGCGCCGGGACCAGGGCCCCTTCCAGGAGCACTCCTCCGTCCCTCGCCCCTCGGTTCGATCCCTCGGTCCCCGCGCCCCTCCCGGGGCGGCTGCCCCTCTCACCGATGTAGTCGAAGCGCCCGGGGGCCAGCCGCTCGGGCAGGTGCGAGGCGAAAAGGAAGCCGGTGAGCAGCGCGCAGAGCAGGTGGTAGGTGTGGCTGGAGCTCAGCGCCTCCCGCCCGCAGCTGTGGCCCGGGTCCCAGCACAGGCCAAGCTGGCAAAGGGAGAGCGGAGCTGGTGGGGACGGCCTTGGGGAGGGGCTCCGGGGAGGTCCGAGCCCCAGGCCCCCTTACCCGGTAGAACAGAGGCAGGTTGTCGAACAGGAAGGGGTAGGCGAAGGCGGCCGTGCGGAGGATCTTACTGAGCCGCGGGCTTTCCAGCTCGGGGAACCTGGGGGGCGGGAGGGAGAGGCGGTCGCCATCCTTTCTCCGGGCGGGGGCCGGGGTGGCGGTCACAGAGGGACAGGGGGCCTTTGGCCAGGATGGAATGTCAGTGCTGTTAGGGCACGTGACCCCTCTGGAAACGGCCACACCTGTGAAGCGGGGGACGGACGCCTGCCTCTGGCGGGGTAGCGAGAATTCGAGGGGGCGGCACAGGCGCGGCGCTGGCGAGGGGTGC